TCAGATCCCTTCTTTCCCTGCTGGCATAGCCCAACCTGGCTCCACAGCTCCTTACCAGCCCACTCCTAGCATTGCCATTGTCTGAATCTGCCCAGCAACCTTCCCTGTCTCTTGGCTCACCATTTAGTTCTAAGGGGATAACCATACCTGCGTGCCTTACAAGGAGATGTGAGGTTGTTAATATTTGGGAGATTCTTGGAGGAAATCCTTATTCAGAAGTCTTTGCGTTGTATCTAAAACAGGGCTGACTCCAGTCCATGGCTTGAACCTTCGTGTGAAGAGTATCCATACTGTACTGCCTGCTTCCATGTTGAGGGGAGAAACTCAAACAAAAATGTATGCTACAGCAGCAAAGTGGAAACCCGTGATGGAGTTGAGCACACCATGGCTTAATGTCTCACTAGTGTTACAAGTACCAGTTCCAGATGCTCCTATATAACAATGTTATTTCTTAACAACTCGTGTGCGCTTTCTCTTGGGCTAGGGACAGAAGTTGCACACAAGCTGGCATAAGTGATCAGAAACCAGTTCAAATTTCTAACACAACAGAAGTTCAGTGCACATAAACTGCTTTAAAAATGGCTGAAACAGATTTAAGGTAAACCTGGATGGATGTAGTATCAAACCTAACTGATTCAGGTTAAATCAGTTTATTGAACTTCTGTTGCAGATTCCCTCTGGATTAATGTAAATTTGCAGTCCCCAGCATCCCAGGATGCTTTGCACCTCCATTGCAGGGTGGGTGGGCTAGCTGTGGCCCAAGCTGTTTGCTCCAGCGCAGCAGGGAGACATGCTCTAGCGCCCCCCTGGCTTCTGGTCTGAGCCACTGCAGGCATGTGGCTGCATTTCCAGAATCAACAATGAATGTCTGTTCACTTGCTTATTGGTTCAATCTATACTGCGTAGACTAACCTGTGAAGATTGAATTGATTCAGCCTCGGGATTTTTGGTTGTACTTAACTTGCGTGGTCTTAGTATATTCAATACCTTTATGTTCTCGCAATATTGTTCTCTGGCTCATTCTTCACCAGAGAAATAAGAAAAGCAAAAAAGGGAACATATTAGAAATGTTCTTCACATTGCACTATAACATATGCAGGGTGGGGTTACTGCAGAACAGCCTTGATTTACTTCAATAAGTCTCTATGTAATAGGTCATTTGTCATCCTCTGAAGGTCACACGTGTTGGCATCTTACACCTGCGCTGTTGGGATCTATCAGGAGCCAGAACCAACACTTGTATCTACTCTATTGATCCTTCTTTCTCTTCTGTTGCCAAATCAGCCTGGGTGCCAAAGGGAATAAGGTATGTAAGGAGGGCCCAATCCTTTAAACTACCATATTGGAGCTTTAGGATTATTGGCAGTTGCCATGAATTAAAGCAGCCTGAGATCTAGTTATTAACCAAAGGCAAGGGAGGATGAGAACACCTTTGCTGAACCTTTCCTGGCATGTTCTGTGTGCTCTCTACCCCACCAGTGCATCCAGATGGGCATGATTTTTTTTTTCCATTCATTTTTATTAATTTTGTTCAATCAAAGTGTGCCCAGGCATTCTCCTGGCCTCTGTGCAGTGTGCCTGTGACTGGTGCTCACTGCATGCTTTCAGGGGTCCCTTCTATTTCCTGGGATAAGCCCAAGGGGAAGGGGCTGTGGTTCCTTGCCTCCCTGCCCCCCCACCCCAGCCCTGAGAGACTTTATCTCACTGGTGGCATTTGGGGTGTCACCACCCTTGAAAAATGGGCTCTGCTATTTGTATATTTAATTTTGCTTGTGTGTGTAGCTTGACAGCTGATGTGTTGTCTTTATTGCAGGTGTGTGGGTTCCATGCTGATAAGGGGACTTCCTCTGTCATATAAACCAGCATGGCACCCCGGGTGGGCATCTTATGGGAAGGAAAGATGAGAAACACACTGCTGTGGACCGGTGAGTAACTCTTGGACTTTTTCTCTTGAGCAGACTTCCCTAGAAGGCTGGTCTCACAGGGCTTGGAACAGGACGTCCCCCAGGTGTTTTGGGGTCACGTTCCATGTGGAAGTAGAATTACTTACTCTGTGACTGGAATAAGGTTTATCAGTGCTGAATCAGTTTATTCCTAATGCATGCTCCTTTCTTTCGCAGGCTTGGCTGTTTTGCTGCAGTTGCAGCTGGGTAAGAATCTCTCATCTTTTTCTCTTTGTGGAGCTGATGAATATTCAGGACAATAAGCCTTTGTTACATGAGAGAATGGGAGAGTTAAGCCTGGGGGAAATTAAGCAAACTGGCAGAATCATTGGATCTAAACTTCAGCTAGTGGAAATCAGTTTAGCAATGTCAGCTCCAGTGAGCCGTGTCCGTTCACAGTAGCTGAAGATCTGACCCAATTGTTCTCCTTTTTATACTTTACTCCTCCCTTTCTTTCTTCCCTCCCTTTCATTTTGCAATGAATGATCTGTGAGTTGAAGAATGGGCGAGCTGTTTTTTTTTCTGTGGGAGGGAGAGCTCTGCATTAAGAAGAAATAGGGAGGAACAGAACTAGTAATGCTTGGCCCTCTCTACTAATTATGCTGAGACTTAGTCTCCAAATAAGCAAGATTATCCTTTGTGCAAAACCCGAATGCCTTGGTCTAGAGCAAATATGTGATTTCAAGCTGTTCTCTGCGGAAAGGGAACACTCTGACCTTGGGTAATACCTAGGAAAAAAGAGTGTCCTGAAATATTTGTCAGGAGGGTGGGATGGTGCTTAAATGGAACAGGTGACTGACTTAGAGATGGTTGTGTAGGTGAAAAAATACTGTTTAGGTTGCAACATTGAATACACAGAATTCCTAGGTTCAATTAAGCTGCCATTCATAGTGAGAACAGGTGCATCTATGTACATAGTCAGGAAGTGTGAGGGAAGAGGCTGAATTTTCTTCCTCTTGAGCCAATGGAGCTGCAGTAGTGTAAGAAGAATTACCCCCGACTGGTATGAACACTGGTGAGAGTAGAATAAGTCTTCTGATTGCTCCCTCGATGATTTCTCAAGATCACCATGCAGAAAGAGACAGGCATTGCTTTCTCAAGCTGCTCCGATTCACTTGTCTCCTAGGCTCTGCCTACAAACTTGTGTGCTACTTCACTAACTGGGCCCAGTACAGGCCAGAACCTGCCAAGTACTTCCCAAACAATGTGGACCCCCACTTATGCACCCACCTGATGTACGCCTTTGCAACGATGAATGAAAATAAGATTGCACCCTATGAATGGAATGATGAGGACAGACTCTTTCCAGAATTTCAAGCACTAAAGAAAAGGTCAGTCCTTTCCAAAGTACGAAGCCTAAAACAAACAGTAGTGGTGTCAGATGAGATTGAGGTAGGAGTCTTTCCTATCAGTTATGATGCAAGAATGGAAGAGGTGTAATAAAGGATTTCCTTGTTGTAGAATAGAAATTATATAAAAGATAGACTGTAGCAGTGCTTTTGTTAAGGGCCCTGTTTTGCAATCTTGATGAGACTTTGCTTGCTAAAGTAATTTTGTTGACTTCAGCAGGCTACCAATATGTGTGCATCTGCATTAGTCAAATCTGCAGGTCTGTCATACCTTGCGTTTAAACCCCTCTGTCACATTATAGTAGCTTGGATGATTTATGTTCCCTGTGGCTGGAATGTGACACTCTGGATTCAAGTTCGGGTTTAAAGATTTTTATTAATGCATAAAGCAGTTGTTGAATCGAGGAGGAGGGGAGCGTGTGCTGTTGAACTTGAACCCAAGGGACATGGATTTAAAGCCTGGTTTTGTCACGGACTCTTTTGACCTTTGAGAAGTTTCATAGATTTCATAGACATTAGGGCTGGAGGGGACCTCAAAGATTGAGTCCAGCCCCCTGCCCCAGGGACAGGAAGTCAGCTGGGGTCAAAGGACCCCAGCAAGATCAGCATCCAAGCGTTTCTTGAATAAGTCCAGAGTAGGTGTCTGCACCACATCTGGAGGGAGTCTGCTCCAGGTCTTGGGGGGCTCGGGGGCAAAAGTTGTTTATTCTTTCTCTGCTTCCTATTTCCATGCGTAAACTGAAGGGAAAATAACACTCCCCATATTCCATCTTTTATCCATCCTACCTGTTTGGGCCATAAACTCTTTAAGGAGAAGGCTGTTTCTTGCTGTATGTTAGTACTATGTTTGGCACGGCAGGGTTCTGGGGCACTAGTGTGATGGATAAGCCAGAAAGAGGTGAATGGATTTTTCTCAAACTGAAGAATGTTTATCACAAAGTGACCGCTCCTGCTGACCATTCACTTTCTTTTCTTTTCTTTTCTTGTCACAGTAATGACAAGCTGGTCACCCTGCTGGCCATCGGAGGGTGGAACTTTGGCACTCAGAAGTAAGAGCTTTTCTTTTCGCTGCAGCAAAATAACAAGGATGATGGGGATGCCAGGGGTCCGACAATATGCAGCCTCCTCCAGCTCCTCTGGAGTCAGTGGGAGTCTTGCTATTAACAATAGTTGGGAATTTGAATGGGATTGTTTCATAGTTTCATAGTTTCTAGGGTCGGAAGGGACCTGAGCAGATCATTTAGTCCGAACTCCTGCCATGGCAGGAAAGAGCACTGGGGTCAAACGACCCCAGCAAGATGGTCATCCAACCTCCTCTTAAAAACCCCCAGGGTGGGAGCCTGCACCACCTCACTTGGAAGCTGGTTCCAGACCCTAGCCGCCCTGACCGTGAAGT